CTAGTCGCGTGTTTTGTTCAAACAGTGAAAATAGTTTTTTTCCCCGCAACGAAATCTTATATTACTTATTTCTTTTCCATGCAATGGAAACCAGCAGAACATTTTTTGCGTTGTTGTAGCACCAGAAAGATTGATTGCGTGACAGAGTACGTCAATTGCGACATATTACAATTGAATTTTGTCTAAAATTTCACCCCGATTCCGATCACGTTACGATCGCTATGACTTCTTTTCAATGCTCTTTTAGAGCGCATTCCAAGAAACCGTGTGGTGTATCTGGTCGGTACAAACACCAGAGAGCACTTGTAACATTAAAGACCTGCTCAAAAGACGTTTCTGATCATTTGAACGGCTGTTATGAAACCACATCCGCAGGTGTTGAAGCGGGATGACACTTTGCCTTTTAGAAGTTCGTTTCATTGACAAGGCGGGAGATTCCCTTACTATTTCGCGATTCCCTTGTCAAACGGCACATGATAACGCGTTGTCGATGATAGTTGAAACTCACGCTCCTGTTTGACCGCAAAACTATCATCCACTATCTCAGACTATGAATAATGCCATCAATTGTCATTCGCTTCGAACTTGTTCAAATAGTTTTATCTAATTTGACCTCGCAAGAAAGTTTTTCGGTCAAATGTTTCCCCTCAAATCCGGATAGGCTCACATTTTCGCGACACTGACTAAGCAAAGCTGAAATTGTGGAAAACCTTGAAATTGATAAAAGGATGAGCTTGTATCCAGGGGTACTCCATACAAAAAGCGGTTTTGGTACCTCTCAGGGTGTTCAGCCTCAAAACTGTCCACAGCGGGAACTTTCGCGGTATCTTTTAGGGCATTGAGCTGAAAAAAATATGTCAGGAGATATTTGACGATCAACCGATTTTTAATTTTGTCGCATCTACACCGGGAATTTACAACTCTTCAACAAAAGAGTGTACTTTCAGTATGGATAACGAGGCTTTAAAGTTAACCGCCAATTGCCTTTATTGCTATTAAAAATTATGAAAGTATCAGTTGATTTGCTGTCTTAGAATTGGTATCTCTTAGTGGTGGAAAGAATTTTCAAGCCTCGACCACAAAACAGGATCTTGGTACCTCTTAATTTACGAGCACCCCCACCCCAAGCTCATATATTACTAAACATCACAGGGATAACAAGTCTAGAAACCGACCGATCCCAAGAACTAGAAAGCGCTGAATTCCCCGATCGGGTCTAGTATAAAAATGTAACAGACTGCCTCATTCCCATGCAAATAAAAGTTCGTGCTTGAAAAGTTTTGTTTGACTCCCTGGGCGCAACGCTATATCACACAGCAGCAGTATCGATTAACGCTCGATCAAGCTTGTGTGTCGACCTCTCGCGAAACTGGGTACTAGTCTCAAACAAAATGGCGCTGGATGGAAAAGTGCAGTAGCCCTTCGTTTAACGAGATAATTGCATCTTTAAGCCTTACGAATTGTTTTGGGCCATTGAAACTACCTGCCGATCAGATATGAAACTATATACATTGGCTCAGAGGTTTGTCCTTTTTCTGGATCAACTTGTCCGTGAGTGTAAACAGCCGATCGACGAGGTATGTGGCGAGCTTCCGAGTGGCTTGATTATCTGCCTTCCGCGTCGGAAGGCTGTTATATCGAAGGCACTTTATAACAACATAACTGATTAACATTAACAGCTATTGTAAAAGTTAAATGTTAATATGGATTGGAATCTGGTGCTCACTCAAGCGACCTATCCGTTATGCTATGACACTCGTATAGTAATTCTTTGTTTTTCTGCACCGACATAAGCACGTTTTTGTCCGTCAAAGTGTCATGAACGTTTTAAACTTTGCAGACTTTGTTTTGCTTGTATTTATTAACAGTTTCGTCGTTGTGTGTGAAATGCACAAAATGCTTGTGCTACCAAACCACTGAGTCATTTGAAATCTCAATGGTATCATTGCAATCTAATTACATGATATTAATTACACCAGCGTTTTGAGCTGGAAAGGTTCAATGCTTTAATAAATATTTTGGTCGAAAAATGGGTCAAAATATGGTCAATTTTTTTTTTACTAAAAACGCTCATGAAAACGTTGACCGCGAGATCTCTTAGACGTTAAAGAATTTTGTGACAATATTCTACCCACTGCATTATTATTATGTAACCCTAAAAAGAATCTGAACAAAATCTGAGAGGGTCGATGAAGACTCGCATTTTAATACTGCATGGTTTTCAGATGGATGCTCTCTTAAACAGTTAAGTTTCACCACTTGCTCATCAGGTTCACAGAGGTTTACAAAGGCCATCTTCAGAGACACCAAAGAGTAGCGCTCTTTACTGTGTCTCCATAGAAATTCGAGAGTACATGAAAAGCTCCTGTGTTTTTAACAAACTTGCTCTAGCGCTTAATGTTATTCTTAGCGCTTAAAGTCATTCTTTTTCCCTTATTCCTCGCATCTAAATTCAGATGGAAAGCCCTAATAGGTTTACTTTTTGGCTTGGTGTGTGCATTTCAGTTTTGCGGCTGAAGAAAAACGAAAGGTGACCGGGAAGTGACTGAGATGTTGTTTGAAAAGACGATAGTCTGATCATAATGAAATGTTTTCATGGCAGCTGAAAATACTGCCAGGAAAAATAGTCAAACTCATTGATAATTTTACTGATGCTGAAGGAAATATCGGCACACAAACACACAGAAAACAAACAAACAAGATTTAAATTTTGTAGTTGCACAATAAATACTATGATAAAGGGTGTGAGTTATTTGATCGGGAAGTGCTGCAGGAAGTTCGAGACAGAAGGAAACCAAGTCAGTAGTGTAAACCTGATACAAATCGATTATAGGTTTTATAGGTATGAGGAAATTCTGATTCTTTCAACTCAGGTGTAAGTCAGAGAGTTGATAAAAGGAATCCCGGCCTCGTGACTGGGCACGTCACTTCGCCTGTTTATTATCAAAATGAGCAAAAACGAGTATTGTCGACGTTCTCATAAAAAAAGCAAAGACGTTTTCCAATCACTATGTTTTTTCTCCAGTGCAAACAATTTTTCACAATTCTGGAATTGAGCAAACTAAGGTCTCTAATGACTTCCTATTAAGACAGCCTTTGTTCTACCCGCCTAGCGCCTGTCGCACCATAATCTATTCTGAAACATAAAAGATCCGCAGACGTCCCATTCCTAGACTACGAGTAGTCCCTTTTTCGCTTAGTCCGTTGTGCGTGGCCCGAAAGTAAACCGCGAGAAAAAAATGGCCGCGCGGACTCCTGGGAGCGAGACGCGCGCTCGTGGTTTATTTACGGTCACGCTCGACGGACTAAGCGAAAGAGGGACTTCTCGTAGTCTATCCCATTACTGACGGAAGAAGAAAATTACGACCTTTACGAGCGGACTAAACATTTCTTAAAAGCGAAAAACAAGGGAACTTTGATGTACTCCGATTTCTATGGAAACAAAGAAGAAAACAACTCGGCTACTCTTTGGCGTCTCTGAAGATGGCGGTTGTAAAACTTTGTGAATCTGATGAGCAAGTGGTGAAATTTAAATTTTGACTGTTTAAGTTTTGCCGTTGCGTTGCAAAGGAAAGTCACTGACAGTGGATCGACAATACTTCCTTCAGCTATGTTGTTAAAGGAAGAGTTGAAAATGGGTCTTGACCTTGTTAATCGTCAGCTCTATTAGGCCGTTCATTAATTAAACATAGGGGTGGGCTGGAGGAAAACTAAACAATATTCAAACAAAATTCCCTGCCCCCCATGGACTGTAATTTTTTTCAAGTCCCCCAAATTTTCTTTACATATATTTCCGAGCTCCCCCTCCCCTACCTTCACCTTTCCAACAACCTGGTTAACCAAGAAAAAACCGAATGTACCTTTTTAATATTAGTGGAGAATAACAGTTGAAACCCTACTGGCCACTCTACCAGACCGCGTTGTGACTGTTTTGTGACTGTTTTTGGGAGTCCCCCCCTCCTTGTTGAAAATTTTTTCGATACCCCCCCTAATTTTCCTCCGGGGGGCCCACTGACCCATAATTAATGAACGGTCTCTAAAATAGATCATGACATTGACGCGTAATGTTTTTTCAGATGTTATGATATACTTTAACATATCCTGGTTTGCTTCTGTGAACACGTGATCAGGAAGAGCTAATAATGGGTGAAACAAGGTCACAAACTAGTATATGTACAGGTGCTCGTACAGATAGATTTTTAAAGTCAAGGCTGCATTCAGGAGGAACAGAAACATCGTAAGAAGAAAACTTAAGTGCGGTGAGTCTAAAGGATCAGCTTAAAATGAAATTTGTCATTTTGACCATTTTGCTTGTTACTTAATTGAGGGCTTTTTGTACTGTGTCCCTTGTGTCTTTTATACTACAACCCATCTACGTTAACTGGGTATTTTCGTCCTTGTAAATTCTTTGTGTTCTGTCTTTTAGTTGCTGAATTCGCTTGGTCAGTTGGATATCAAGAGAGTTTAACCACTTGACAGTGAAAGTTACTGAAGAGAAAGGAACCAAGATGTTTCGTGCTGTGACCTTCATCGTAGTTTTTTGCTCATTATTCTTTGCCATCGGTAAGTTCAGTTGATGGAGAGCTCAGCCTTTTCACTTTTCTCACTAACTTCAGTTGAAACTAATATTTTTTACATCTACCTATCATTGGTAGTTCTTCTCTCAGTATTTTATTTTATTTTATTTGATACGTGTAGTGGAGCGCTTGGCCAGAATATACATATGAGGCCGCAAATTGCAAAAAATCCCAACATTGGCCATTTCTTTACATTGGACGACTCCCACAAGGCAAATAGTAAATCTTACATGTAGTGTATTTCTTTTCTCTATTATAATGTATTGATATTTTTAACCGTGTTATAAATAGAGCTTTCATTGACGGGGCCTAGGTGTTTTTTGTTTCTTGTTTCGTTAAGGGTTGACTCGTATTTATTCGTAATTGTTTTTGCGCCCAAACTAAGAATATTTATTGATATTTTTTCATTCACTTTTAAAGATGCCACTGCTGAAGAGTCCTTGGAGCTAAGGATATCTAATCGCGACTTTCGACCCTCGCACTCTCAGATGATTGAAATGTTAAAGGAAGCAGACCTTGAGAGTCATGGCTACGAAAAGCAAGTTACTTCAAGTTTAACACAAATGCCGGGGAGTGACGAGAAGAGTTACGAAAGAACTCACCTGTACTACAAGATTGTGAGCTGTTCGCAGTTGCAGGAGATTTACCAAGAAATACACCGTTTGCTGCCAGGTAAATAATTTAGCACAGAAATTTTTTTTACAAAGCTCATCGCAAGTTATAATTACTGAAGATGTTGTCTTGAGTAAATTCTACTGTATGTCTCTTGACTGCAGTTAGTTCCAACTGGCCCTGCCGAGATTTATCTAGATTCAACAAATCTGTTTCCGGAAAGGGAAACGAACCTAGGCATTTGTTCTGACACACTTGCTGGCAAATAAACTTCCGTCACTGAATAGCAAAGATTTTGCTTTATTTCGCTTTAGTTTGCTTTTTTTCAAACCATACTGACAGGCCTAAATTGGTTTACACGCAATGAAGCAGTTGGTTTCATTTATCATTATGTACCTTTCGAAGTTTTTCTCCTAAAAAGCGACAACTCTACATCATGACTGCTTTCCCAAGTCAGAGCCTCTCGAAGAATTAAGAAGAGCATCTCTAATACCCAATAAGGAAAACTTACTTAAACTATTGAGCTGAAAAAAAGTCACGTACAAATTCCAGTTTGCCATCAAATATTATGGCGGAGCATAAAACTACCTGATTCCTCAGGTTTAAATTTGTTTTCCATTTTTTGCAGTATTTATATCCCAAACGCCATTGTTATTGTCAAACCTCTCTTCTTCCCAAGAGATCTAATGAATGAGGTTGTGTTAAGTTTTCTCTTCTCCAACTTCTTACCACTTGGGGAATTCCGGACTCCGGCTATAAAGTTTAGCTGATGCGCTGGTGTCATTAAATTTCGGCCAATTTCTGCTTTGCCTCTCCCTTGAAAAATGACCTAGTATCCCCACAAGATTTACTTGGCATTACTTTGACTGTCTCTTTGCGAACCTTTCGGTAAATAATCTAGGTAAATCAATCCGAATTGAAATAAACGTTACGTATGGTTATGTACGGTACTGAAGACGTCTTAATGGTGAATTTTTCAACCTGTTCCAGGTGCCTTTGAATCGGATATGGTCATGAAGTATGAAAAGGAAGTCAAATACAGTCATCTGGACAGCATGCAACTTTGTCGAGCAGGAGTGGAAGTTCATTTTAGGGATGACAGGTGCCATGAGAATGGAAAAATCTCTGAATGCCGTCAGAAACGCGGTTATGGAGATGTCGTCGTCTGCGAGGTAGTCAAGGGCGTAGTCGTTGTTTGAAACCTAACTGGCCAACAGCAGAACTTTAGCGGTATAATTCTTAAGTAGTTATCAATGAGTTCATCGTTTATAGTTTAAAGTTGTCTCAATAGTATAACTCAGCTTCTCTTGGCACATAAAAAATGATAAAAAACTTTGATTCTTAGCTATAGAACGGTTGAAATCACGCGTTCAAGTAATCATTAAATGTTTCAATAAAAGGATTCCAAAATGGAATGTTCTCCTGGTGTCTTCAGTCTTAAGGTGAATCTTTTATTCATCAACACACGAATCAGTAAACTTTGGAGCTTGCTATTCAAAATCTTCACACCTTTCTTTAGAGTTACTGGTCAAGGTGAATTTCTTCCGAATGTCAAAAGCAGGAAAAGTTGCTTGAGTTTGACACAGCACCAACTAAGATGCTGAATGATGTTTGTTTCGCTACGCGTTCTCTCGCGGTCTCAGGTTTTTGTATAACAAGGTAATTGACGCAAGCCTTTTAGCATACGTGCTAGCTTGCTCGCAGTTCTAACCTTTGTTTGCAGGTTTTCTTCCTCTGTACTTTCAACGTTAAAGGCAGCTTATACTTGAACGAGGGTGGTGAAGGGTGTTTTCGTGATTCGTGAATGGCCTAATCTTTTTCCCGTGAAATGTGAAACGGCTTGTTTTTTTCTCGCGAATATTGATTTCGTTGGAAGGCGTGAACCGTGATTTTCCAAGATAATTCTCCGTGAAGTGAGAAGGAAGTATTTAATTCGTCGTGAACCGTGATTCTGGTTGTGTCTTCTGGTCGTGTCTGAGCTAAAGGGAAATAGCGCTATTATTATTATTATTATTA